TCAGTACGGACGTATGAAGGTACTGGGTAGAGAGAGATCGGAACGGTTTTTAATGTGAAGACAACAACAACACCAAAATATTCTGTCCTGGACAGCAAGCGGCCGAGCAGAGCGCCTCGAGCGCTTGCCGCATCTGCTGTTCTACTGATTGAGCCTCCCTTCCTCTACCTTTCCACATGTAAGGGACGGCACCCCTCTGCCTGCGCGTGGGTGAAGACAGGCGTGTTAGGGGGTCGTGCCACGTTGATCCTTTAGATCCCTCGATGCCACGTCTGCCTTTTTCTAGACCAACAACGGATCTTTGAGTTCCACAAAATGTTGTTTCTCCGCATCTTTTTTTTTCATCGACACCCATCGCCGACTGCGGTAGACGAGCAGCGCAAACTAATTGCCAGCCTCTCACATCGACCGGTAGAACGCGGCATAGCAGGGAGCGCAGCAGGCTCACGAGATTCAACTGCAGCCACCGCATGGCGCAGGGCGCGAGAGTTGTCAACACTTTTGTGACGCATATTGACTGCTCCGTTAACTGCTGTGCTGTCGAACGGCATATGGTGACACATTACGTCCATTTCAAATACATCCACGCCGCTGTTGACGGTTGCGAAAGTGACGAAATCGCACGGCAGCAGTAGCCAAGTGAAGGGCAGACGCCACCCCGTGGAAGGGGAGCGACGAATCACAAGGGCGTTAACGATGTCGCCCGCATTTCTGCACCACTCGATCAAGTGGGGAGCCAGAGCTATCACATAGAGGAGCAGTGTGGAGACAACATGCCACAAGGAAGGGAGGAGGTCGGAATATTTTGTGTTGTTCGACGCGTGCGGGCGACGGAGCGCCGTTTCGAATCCAGGCATCTATCTCACCTTGAAAGGTCTTTCGCCCATGGCTCCCTCTCCAAGGTCTGCTTGCTTTCCGGACATGACGGGTGCTGTTGGGCTCTCTCTAGCCAGAGCATGAAACAAAAACTTGACAATGTGTGGCGTTCGAAAGTCATTGATGGGGGGGGTCCGTGGATGGATTTTTGAAATCGGCTTCTTTTTTTGGATCTGTTTCGAAAACGAAAAAAACGTGGGTTTGAGAATAAGATCCGTTTCCGGAAGGAGACCCGGCGCCACACAACAAGGCGTACACAACCATCAACCTTGTCATCATACCTCTACGGAGTACACTGCGGCTTGTCTGTCTCGCTGAGGTGCCGGGAAACACAGAAGCACCTTTACTGCTGTGGATATGGTTTGTTCGGCAAATTAAACCGGAGTACATGAAGGGTCTCCTCCTGACAGGTGCACTTGGATATGTATCTTGGTCGGAAAAAGAGTGTAACGGACAGCGTGTTGCGAGAGTAATAGCACAGCGACCGAGACGAAGGCTGGCGACGTACGTATTGACTATACCGTCCCTGTATCCGCACCAACACAGGCACGCCAACTTTGTAAGCCCAAACCGTTTCATCTCCGTGACATCACATGTCGTCGATAATCAGCACAACTATTGTTCCCAGCACAGGTGAGAGAGGGGTTCAGGTGGAACGACGAGGAATAATGTAGATATCGATGGATTTATTGTGTCATAGTAATCGCGGACGGTTCGGTATCGGTACGAATGTTGGAGAAGATCGTGGGGAAATGCGTCAGCATGTCGGTGGCGATTCGGCCAGCGTCACTCTGGACCCACTACATGTTTGCAGCGATTAAGAGGGCGAAGAGCCGCGTGGTTCAGTTGAAAGATGAGCATGATCTCCGCGCGGAGCTGCGTGTATGGCTTAACCTGTCGTCCACGTCGCAGGAGGGGCCGTGGTATAAATCGCGACACTACGACGTTTCTATCACGACAGCGTCGTCGGACGCGTCGTCTAATCAGTATGGCGGCGTCGTATCGCTGCCCAGTGGTCGTTTTTCGGCAGGAGGGGGGTTCCCCCCGGAATGGTTGTCGCGCCCCATTAACGGTAAAGAAATGTTTGCGTTGCTCGAAGTTCTGAAAGAGTGCTGTCGCGAACGGTCGGGGGAACTCAGGAGGACCCAGGTGCTGATGGACGTCGACAATAGAGCTACCGTTGACGCGTTTCGGAAAGGGTGGTCGAGCAACTCAGTTACGCATGCGATGCTGGTTAGTCTCTTCGAGTTGCAAGTCGCACACGGTTTCTGGCTCACCCTGAGGTGGGTGCCATCAGCAGAGAACGCAGTAGCTGATAGCATTACGCGGCCGGGGAGGCAAGAGATCGTCTGCCTCCGGCCGACAGCATTTGAGAGGTTGCGCCAGTTTTTTGGCGAATTCACGGTAGACCTCATGGCGTCCTCCGAGAATGCCCAGTATAACGTGGAGCGTGGCACAGGAGCAAGGTGCCGACTACCATTTTTCTCGCGGTACTCGTGCGAAGGAACGGCGGGTGTAGATGTTTTACGTCAAGATGTGGCGGTCACACCGGGGTTGGGCACGCCGGCGTTTGGGTACTGATTTCCACCTCCGGTCATGGTGGGTCACGTTATCCAGCATCTCGCCGAATGGCGGGCCCACGCCATAATCGTGATACCGGATGTACACGATTATTGGCTACCGCGGGTGGGGCGAGCTACTGTCAAATCGCTTGTGGTGCCGAGACGGGGGAGTTTTGGATATCCCCACCATCAGCACGGTCTTCGCGAATACGTTTACGTTCGACACGGAATGCGCGCGGTAGAATTGGATTTTCGTCATTTATGAAACGATACCGTATGAGTTGACAGGTGGTGCTTCCTTGTTATCGTTCGTTCGTCCGTACGTCATCAGCACTATGACCAGGGGGCGCTAGAGCGCATCCCTCCCGGGGCCACGCGCGCTCCGGACCGGGTACCACAAGTCTTGTGTAATGCGTGTGGAGCACAAAACGAAGCGACATTCAACTTTTGTCAGCATTGCGGGGTACAGCCGTTTCGGGGGCTTTTAGAGCCGCGTGTTCCCGGGGCAACCGTGGTCATCGACGAAGATCGGCTGGCGGCACGGAAAGAAGCCGTCCAGGTCGCGTCCGCGAATACAGCCGGGCAACGCCGGAAATCCGCCGTCGCGGATAAGTTCGACGCGTTTTTGAGAGCGCACACAGCAGGGAGCCGGGGGTGGGAGAGCGCCACCGACGCAGACGTACATGACTGGTTGTGTTGGTTGGATTCTCACGGTAACGGCACGAAGGTGGTTCACGCAGTCGATTGTGTCGCTATCCGGTCAAATTCGTTAGACTCCTGTAGCGCGGGAAGTACGTGTGCGAAGAGATACGCGGCTCAAACATTGGACAAAGGATTCGTCACGAAACTCAAGAGAGCCATGGTCGAGATATTGGGAAAGTCTGATCCGTGGGACGAGCGGGAGAAGAGAGGTAATGCCGCCGATAGCGCGGCCGTTCGTCGGTACCTCTCGTACGCCCAGATCGAGCAGCGCCGGGCGGGAGTTACCGCCAAACAAGCTAGGCCCATGTTGCGGCACATGCGTAACACAGCAGACCAGCTACAAACCGTGGGGGAGCGAGTGGCTCGCAGTAGAGACGTTGCGGCGTTTGCAGTCGCCTTCCACACGATGCAGCGTGGATTCGATTTGGCATGCGCATTAGCAGCACAGGTGTTGCGCCTCCCCGAAGGCCAAGGGATGATTTTCAACTTTCACTTTGGCAAGACGCTACGCAGCTCGTCACACGCAGTCGTTGCTAAAAGGGATAAGAAGTGTAACGAACTGTGTCCGGTCCGGGCGGTACAAGAATTTTTCATCGTCGCGAAGTCCGTGGGTTGGAATATGCGTGAGGGGTACTTGTTTCCCGAGATCCAGGGAGATGGCTCGAGGGGGACATCCCAGTGGACCGCCGCTCGCATGACCGCGGCTCTGCAGTGTCATATGCGAGACGGCCGGTTGAACGACCACCACGGCCTGTATACTATGCACTCCTTTAGGGTAGGAGGAGCCGTCAGCCAGTCCCTCGCGAGGACGGCAGTGGAAGCCCTTATGGAGTCAGTGGGGTGGAAAACGAGAAGGGTAGCCCAGCGATACGTAGGCTCCATGATACGCGGGGGGGGCTCACTCGCTAAGCGTCCGCGAGATCCGGATCGGAGGGAGCAGGAGCAGCGATATATCCAAGCAGTGGGTTTGCCACTGCAAGAAGGCTTGGCGGAAACGTTTGCGTTCGGGATATAGACTCGGTTTACTAGTTTGAAGTTTGGGATAAAATATCAGACATCAGGCGCCGACACAGCATGAATAGCTGAAAGGCAAAGTATGGGTGGATCCCGTGCCGTAGCCGGAGGCCTCATTTCATCCCAAACTCTACATCGTTGACAACTATCCCGCAGTAAAATAATGTCGAAATCATGGAACCGCGAAGGGGTTCCGCAGATGAGAACAGACTGACTGCAGAGAAGCTTGGAGAGAGCACCCACTCGTGACAAGCCTTCCCAACCCTAACGGAGGGAGAGTACGGTAGGAAGAACAGCCGTCCCCGCCCACCCAACTGTACTAGGTATTTGATTTGACTGGGGTTAGCATTCTGAGCGACTGCCGCGTTGACGACACGGAGGGCGTCAACGCGGGGGTAGTAACCCTGGGTGGAGTCTCCGGGCTTTCGTAGCCGGAGGCCTCATTTCATCCCAAACTCTACATCGTTGACAACTATCCCGCAGTGAAAAAATAAAAAATAAAAATAATGTCTTTTCGCGCCTTACGAGCACAGGGAGGAAAAAATGTTTAGGTGATATTCAAGTGTCGGGGAACAGCTGTGGGAAGCACACGGCCTTGGGGGCGTTGTCGATCTTTTGCCTGTTCGAGGCCACGGGGTGTTTGACTGCTTGCTGCACGTCGTTTGGCAGCGTTGACGATGCCGTTCAGAGCACTCACCAAAAACAAAAATGCAACAACAGGGCCTGAGCAAGGTCCTATTTTTTCTCATCCCCGCAACAGCAGGAACGCCAAGAGAGCGCTCAAAAGAGACAAAAAAGGGGTAGGCAACACAACGAAAAGAGGGGACATGCAAGGTGTAGGGTAGGGTGGCAAGAGGAAAGGTTGTCATTTGACCGTCGGCTTCTGACCCGAAGGCATACTCCAGTTCTTGAGGATTTCCCGCCCCGAGACGTTGGTCGCGGGCAGTCCTACCAAGACCCACGACAAACCCCACGTACCGAACGGAAGCATGTTAAAGGTCAACACCCCCTTCCACGTGTTCGTCACAACAACACTCTGCTGTGTAACGGTTGTCACCGTCTCATTGTACCCGCGGCCAAAATGTGCGGGTTTCTGTCCCAGAAATCGTCTCGAATAAGGTCGCACGCGTCCTCCTCGATTGCTCCGGGAGGCGCGTGGCCCTTCTTCAAGAGCCGCTTTGCTCTGCCCTTCCCGTCCGAGCATGACACCACCTTTACAACGGCGTCGCCCCGTGGCGCACCCCCCGCCTTCTCGCTGGCACCCCCCTTGCCTCTCCCCCGTGGTCTCTTATCGCCCTGCCCCTTCCCGGTTGCAGCGCCAGACGCTGCTACCCCGGCTTGCGCATCCCCGCCCTCTGACCCCGCTTCGGGTTTTCCATCCTCCGAAGGACGAGAATCGGGGATTGTCTCTACTCCGATGTTGTTCTCCACCCGGTTGTTGGTTTCTTGCGCGGCAAGCCTTGGTGCCTCTACGCCTGTCTCTCCGGCCTGCCGCCCCGCCGTTGGGGTTTCCCCACCAGTGGCCGTCGCTGAAATGGGGCCACTTTCTACCGGTGGCCCACGTCCGCCCTTGTCGCCGCTTCCGTCCACTGCAGCGGCGCCATCTTGTCGCGATGGCTGCCGCAATGGTGTTTCAGGCGGCGGCGGCGGCGGTGGCGCCGCCACCGCTGTTGGTCGGGCACGAAACAGCGTAGTGCCCTTTCGGAAGCGCTGGGGGATCTCGTTGTAGTTGGTGTCGAACCTCGAGAAGAGAAGCTCGTTCTTGTCGCCGGAGGTGGTGCCCTTGAGGGCTACTTGGGCGTCCTGCTTGGACACCCCTGAGAGATGCGGTTCGCAAAGCGGCGCAAAGCGTATGGTAGGTGCAGCGGCGGCATTCGATGACGACGGCAGGCTGTAATTTTGAGGGTTCATAAAAGCAAAAGCGCGCACGCGCAGCACACTCTTTCGGCGTGGACACAAACCCGCGTTTTTTTCGCGAAAAAAAAACAAATGGTTCAAGGTGAGTGAGTCAATCGACCAAGAATAAAAATCCACAAGCAAGTTTCGCCTTGTTGCATTTTCCGTTTTCAGCTGCACCGAGCCTACGGATATCTATCGCTCCCCGTGGCACTAAAGCATCGCCATACAGTATTCCATCCCCCATGTAACAAGACACCAGCGCAAAGCAAGTTGGCGCGACGACAGCAGTTGCATGGTACGCGTGTCTCTTTGGCATCGCTACCAACCCTCTCACCATCGGCGACAAGAGCCCAGAAACAGGTGTTGTACAGGTTGTTGATGTGGCAGTCCGCTTGCCTCCACGAAAAGTAATCCCGGACGTGCTGTGTGAATTATGGCCAATCGTGTGTATGGAGGGGTACTGATGTTTTTCATGCCTTAGCGGTCAGACCATTGACCACGCGTCCTCGATAGGACGAAGCATTGTTCCCGCAGGACCGATCACCGATGGTCAATCGTTCCCTTCTACTTTGCAAATGTGGGATCAGTCAAAAGGTGGGGGTGCTATATCATGGAGGCATGCAGAGAGACAGCAGACCGCAAGCGTGTCAAGAGAAGATGAACGACGATTTAGGTTTATCCGGTGAGCGAGATGGCGAAGGACGCCTTGTCGACCTCTGCCATGTCGTCCTCGCAAGACGCAAGCTCTTCGCTTACGGCGAGCGTGGACGCCCGGGCCTGAGCAGCTCGGCGGCGCGAATTATTCTGCAGCTGGTCCTCGAGTCGATGGAGGATCAGTTCGGACACCTCCGTCAGGTTCCAAAGGATGGAGGGCGACCTTCGCGCCGAGGACCTTGCCGTTGATGACACCATCGACGCCCTGAAGACCGCCGTGGACGAGGAGAAGGGAGCCGCCGAGGTCGCGGCGGAACGCTCCGAGCTGGCTGAGTGTGCGGGACAAGAATCGATCGGGCACCTAGATCGTTTCACTCCTACGACTGCAACATGAATATAGTATTTTCCCTCGCCTATTCGCGGTGACTGCAACACATGCACATATGTACAAAAAACACTTTATGCACTCGCCTTTTCGAAGCGACTGCAACAACTGCGCTTGCCCGCTGGGCGTTTTTGTTCTCTACACTCGTCTACATGCGCCAACCACTGTTCAACTACGGCAGTATTAAATGCATGCGCCAGGAAATTACACCCACTTGCGGACACGCGAAATCGGCACGCACGTCCGACGAGACTCGCATTGAGGGACGCGCATGCATACATACAAGTAGCGGTTGCAATTCTTGACCGTCTGTGCCACAAAAAGACGCTAAGCATGACTACGGGAGTGCTTACCTGGGCGGAGGGGTACGAGACTATCCTGGCGTCGAAGTTGGGTGGGTACAGCAGGGGAGTGTCTGGGAAGTGCTTCGGCCAGAAGAAGACGAAGCTTGGTAGACAAAGGGGGCAGAGAGACGCGGCAGGCGTGCAAGAGTTGTTCGGGAAACGCAGTAGACATCGGGCGGGGGCTCGTGTTCAAAGATCGCCAACAGGCAGAACTTGTACCGTAAATGGTTGTTTCAGCTTGAGAGAAGAAAGCACCACATGTGTCTTTCGATTTTTCGTGTGAGGGAGAACGGTACAACACTAATAGCGGCACGGTCCAGGTAGAATGAAACCCCCTTACGCTCTCTCTAATTCTGCCTCAAAAGAATAGAGCCAGACCCGATATTCACCAAGACTGATGCCAATCAAAAGGCATGCGGCTCTCTGCTCTGATCAAGCTGTGCGGTGCGATACACCACGCTATACACGTCGTGGTTTTCTCGCACAAGGTGGCTATAATATCTAGTAGGAGCAGCACCTGGAGGAAAAGAGAGACACGAAGGAAGTGGACAGCTTCGCCGATCGCCTCCCGTACAGTGGACTCGAAGCCGGGAGAAGGAAGCTGAACTCATCGCTCTGTCCGAACGCCATCACCAAGTCCGACCACTCGCTCATTACCTGTCGCGCACACTGCACGGATACGAAAGCAACGAGTAATAGGCCAAAGGTGCGCAGATCAATGGCTCGCATTCTGGTCGGCTGCCCTCGTCAAGCAAGCACCCTTCGCGCAATACACGACACACGCGAATATGTACGTTGCGGTCATTTTCATCGGACAGCAGCTGGGCGAGGAATTGACAATCGTGTTGGAGCAGGCATGCAGCTAACAGAATGGAACAACAGGATGTACAGCATGGACCTGTGGACACCTACATGATGGGGGTACCATCACGGCCGACAGCGGAGCAAGAACGGGATGTATCAAGGGGGATAACGCCGTGCTCTCCGTCTACTAACGAAGGGTAGGCATTCTCTTCAGTTTCAAATAAGGTAGATATATCTCACGAACACGATATTCTCTCTCTCTCTACAGCAGTGGAGAGCAAAGACGAGGTTGCACATGTGGCTGCGGCTCGGCTGCGGTACATTCAAGTCAAGTGAGGGGAGGCGCATAATCTATCCCCAACAAAGCAGATTGTTACCAGTCGCTCCACTCGCCCAAACACTTCGGCACAATTAATAGTGGTCTTGCCTTGGTCTTTTTTATCCCCCCGAGCGCCGAAGTCCGATGGATCTTTAGGAATATGGTCTTTTGCTTTCGCAAATTGCCCCCAAATACCCGAGAAACGCTCCGATTTTGTCTTGCTTAGTTTTGTCTTTGAAAGCACAATTTTTCATTGGCCTGCACACCCCGAGATACTCCCGACGTCCTCCCGACACACGCCGCGCCATCCCGTGGAACTACCCAAACACACACAACACACAACTCGGCCGTCAAAGGCGACACCATGGCGAACCAACTACAGTAGTACCGCCAGACAGACAGTCAGACAGACGTCACTGCACCGCAGACCCGGTGCGCATTGCATGCTGCCGACATGGTGCAACTTTTGGGTCATCTTAGATGTATATGTGTGAACCGAAGCACCGCTCTTCTACATGCATGCTCGTGAGCGATACATCAAGCCGCGGCACGAGGAGGGTGAGGCGGTGAGGCGAGCGGCATAGATCTCTGGAGTGCGGCACAGGTGGTGGAGGCGGAGGTGATGGAGTAAGGGATGCTTCAAGCGGCGTGGGAGCGTGAGGAGGTGCAGCGCGTGCGTCCTGTGGACCGTGCTGCGGTGATTCGTTTGACGGGGAACGATCGACTCCGTCGACGACAAACTGCGATGTGCATCACAACTTGTGCGCGTGCTGAAGGGGCACACACATGCATGCCGCCTCCGCTGTTTGAGGCGCTACGGTTCCCATGCACTCCCGGCAACTGAACTGGGCCAGCCGCCTGTTCATGAGTAACTTGCTCCTCCAGTATTCTCGCCATGACATACTTAGTTAGCTGGGGGTGTGGGTGCAGTAGAGTATAATAGTAGCCTTGTTGGGGTGGAGGCGAAAGCTCGAAAATAAACATGTCGCTGTGTTCCGAGTCGGCTCAACCATCTATCTGCCGCCGCCGGTCGAAGGGGCTCCGTCGTGTTGAACGCAACGTTCTTGGAAATTTCCGTGTTGTTGTTGTTGTTGTTGTTGTTGTCTTCAAATTAAAGAGCGTTCCGATCTCTCTCTACCCAGTACCTTCATATGTCCGCGTACTGATCCAACACTTGTACATAAGACCGAAAAAATCACACTCCAGTCTTCGCAAGCAGTTTTGAAACGCGATTCCGGTCTTGGTTTTGGACTTGCTTCCGACTTCCAAGACCAAGACCTGAGACCAGTCCGCAAACACCGTAATACAATTGTAATTGTTTTCGTTCCTGGATTGTCCTGGAAGATGATAAAAAATTAAAAATCCCCTCACTTCAGCCATCAGCAGCAGCCCTCGCTCGTCGTTGGGCTTGGTGAACCCATGTTCCGCAGTGAATTTCGTGAACCTGTGTCCGTCCAGCCTGGCGACCAGATAAGTGTCGGGTAGCAACGCGTCCGAAAGCTCAAATTTCTTGACGTATTGGAATCTGCTGTTGGCCATGGCGAGTGGCTGAAGGGACCGTGCGTTCACCACCTGTTGCTTGCTCACGAGGCAAGGCTGCTTGAAGGTGCTGCTGCGATGGGGAGCGAGCACAACGCCCAGAAAAAAACCGGCTGCCGCCCCGATCATGTGGTGGTGCTATTGGGAGATGCTTGCTATTGGCCGGGAGGGGAAAGATGCGGCCTAACCTCTCGTTGATCGAAGGCTTTTCTCCTCCAAAAAAAAAAATCTCTCTCGGCCTTTCAAGCCCCCCCCCTTGCTCGTTCGCCCACCCCGGTCAGTTCGCTGAGATTTCATGTCCATCTCGAAAAGGGATGTGTCCCGGGAGGTGGAGTCTGTGAGTACCCGGAGGAGATGACGCATGTAGCTCAAGTAGTTAGATGCCGCCAGCTGTAGTGTATTGTATTGACAGGCAATCGCGGGCCTGATTTTGTGTGGTCGTTTCTTCGGAAATCGGCTTCTGGGTATCCCTGTAGTCTTATCCTCGTCATTGTTGCCCTGTGATGACGGCGGTGGTTCAACTCCGCTTTTCTGGGCGATCGGATTCGATCGCGCCCCTTGTTGGGCGTTGTGTACAGTCTCGCGTCGCCAGGGGCTGGTACTCGATGCCTTGCTCCCGTTGCGATTGCCTTTGTTTATGGGGATGCATCGCGTAATTTTGTTTTGGGCGGCTGCTGCAGCTGCTGTTCCCTACAGCCGGACGACGACACCACCAATGTTTCGCCGCTGACCTTGCATACCTGCCTCGTCGCCTAATACCACGTTTAGGTGTTCACGGCCCTCGCGAAAGCGCGCGTCCGCAAGGATATGGACCCAGAAGTTCTGAAGTCATCTCAGGTGTGTGTGTGAACCGGGGCATGTGGGATTGTTGGTCGGTCTCGTGCTCTCCCTTTTGGACGTGACTAGCTCTCCTGATTCGCGGAGGGATTGGTTTTGAGCGGCCGGAGAGACGAGACGAGTGAGAAAAAGCAGCAGGTCGGGAATCTCGCTTGCTCCCGCTCCCTTGCACATGATCCCTTGCCGTTGGAAAGAAGTGATGACCTAGTTTCGTTCAGCAACATACCGGAGTAGAGACCTGAACTACCTGCAAGATTACCATGTTGATGGGCATGTCTGATCTCTCGAGACGTGTTGTTGTATGGGAATTTAGAACGGTTTCAGGTTTAGTCCCAGCGGTCCCACCGATCAACACTGTATCATCTTGGTAGGAACGGTGCTGTCACCGTATGGCTGTGTTGGTGTTCGTGCGAAGCTCCTTCGATAACGCTGCAGAGTGCAGCCCGGAGATGAATAAACACCAACAGAAAAGTGACGTTTCTATCGTGCACACGCTGTACGTAACCCTGTGCATGCCACGTACCGCCGTTGTTGCCGTCCATCAAAACGCGAGGCATGGTTCTCCTCTTGAACACGCCATTGTTTCCAACCTATATGTATGCTTACATACTGCTGTGTAGTCTAGCATATGCTACTTCAACATCAACCCCACGCCGAACTAGGCAGCACGTGGCCGCTTCTTGGCACACTCGCACACACAGTTTCTCTATTTTTGTGACACTTCTTCGCCCGGCGCACTAATCACCCCCACGCCAACAATCGCCCCCTCATGAACTCCACCAGTATTTGGACAGAAAGCTGGAGGCTCACCTGAAGTTGGACTGGTACAACGAGCAAGCGGTCAAGAGCGAGGCCCGTCGCCAGGCCAACCAGCCGGTGAGCACAAAGAAAGAGCATCACGTGCACTATCTAGACTAGTCGGTGGGGTTGACGCGCTTAACCAGACGCAAAATATGCCCAGCAAAATATGCTACCTATAATAGCAGGCTTTCTTCCTCACTCACTGCTGTGAAGACTTCAACACGTCCCTTCGACTGCTGTGGTAATATCTAGAACGGATAGTCTTTTTCAGTGATTGTTGCGTATATTTTCCAAGCCGAGTCTCGGCGGGGGGGGGTTCTGTGTTAGGCTCTACTTCGACCTGCGGAGGTGTTCTGGTTTCGGCCAGCGGTTCCACTGAACCTTCCCTGTAAGCACGCCAGCGCACCTCCTTGAGCCCCGTGCTGAGTGGTACAGTAGTCCTTCCTTTGATTTTGTCTACGCTTCGTGTTCAAGAAGGTGGTCATATGAATGTATGGAAGTCGCGTGCAGGTCTCCTCCGGCCTGTTGCGAACGGCGATGTCCGAGGTATCATTAGCCCTCAGCAGAGAAAAGCATTAACGGCAGATGCCGCAAGGTGCGATGGATAGGGTGGCTGAAATATTGTCTGAATAGCCCGATTGGAAAGCGCATATGCGCTGTGCTACTGCAAGTGTGTTGGGTGTATGTCCTCCCCGAGCACCTCGCTACTGACCAAGCTCGTGGTTGGCGTTGACATGGTGTTGTGGATTTACTGCCCTCTCTCTGTCGCTGCGGGGCGATGGATCGGTCTTTCCCGAACACTTGTGTTAGCAGAGCGGATTCCCGAGCTTATTCTGGGTCAAAAGTCAACACCGCCTTGTTCTCCTACACGAAGACCCCCGTCTGATGATCCCACACACTGCTGCCTCTCCGCTTTGGCTCGCTTTCTGTCCTTTTCGATTTCTTCGCAGCCCGACTGGATCTGCCTTCTGCTCCAGAGGGACCGTGACGCTCGCCGCGCGTGGCAGCTGCTGAAGGCGGTTCAAACCTCCGGCTGGGGGGGCTCCTCGTCCAAGCCCAAGCCGGCCAAGGGGCAGCTTCAGAACCCCGAAAAGGTGAGACGGGCGGTGTTGACTGCTGTCCAGGGGCACACACACCCTCCCCAGGTCTTCCTTTCTTTTGCCTGCGCAAGGAATTTTCCTCCTATGTAGATACATGCGTTTGCAATGCGTAAGGGTCGTGGCTTCGATGTTTCCACAGGCACCGTTGTGGCAGCAATACCCGTGCGGTAGTAAGAACACCATTGGTTCATGTTTTGGGGTGTATCGCATTCACAGGTTACACGGACGTTGTATTGAACCGATGTTCAGAAACGTACACACCTTTTTGCCCGCGAAGATGCATCCCATTCCCGCTGTCCCTCCCGAACGTAGGTGCTTTTCTTTGAGCCCGAAGTGATTCCAATCCTCACCCCCTCGCCGTTGTTGCGGCGGTTTTCCCCCTCAGGAAGCGTACGTCGACTCGGCGGCCCTTGCGGAGAGCAAGCTGGAGCTCCAGGAGGAGCGTGCCGCACAGGGGCTGAGCAACGAGCCCACGCCCTCCTTCGAAGTCGAAGAGGTGGACGACTGGGAGGTGAGGGGGTTGTGCGGAGGGGGCGGGGTGATCAAGGGTACTTGTATTTTTTTCCTTGTTCTCGTTGACTTGACTCTAACCCTGGTTGTAATAGCATTGAGCACAAACTACATGGGAGGTTGGAACCAATTCAGTGGGAGAGGCGTGTCTCGGATATGTCTGGGTGCTATTCGTGTCGTCGACATTCTCGAGTTCTTTGTTGGCTCGCGCTACACTCCCTGCCGATTTGCCCCCCCCCAACAAAGGTGTGGAGCATGAGCAAGCCTACGTTGGAAGCTGAATCCATGACGCATGTGATGTCAAAGACCGGTCGATTGCAATCACTCCTCCTTCCCAATGTAGCTTCAAACCGTTCGTGGCGTGGCGGTATATACCTACAACTCGGCCGAGTTTCGTTCGATTTGACGCTTATTTTTCTGCCTCTATTTTTGTAACCGTTTTGCATAACGTCTCCTCCGCAGACCCTGGACGATCTTCCCGGGGACGAGCCGACGGAGACGGCCTGAAGTGGCTCGCCCTCTCCGCCGATTTTGGCGCGGGATTGGGGCTGTAGAAGGCGTCTGGAGTAATCAGGCGCAGAGTTAGTACGACGCTTGCTCTTTCTTTTTCTCCGACTGCTTTTTTTCTCTCTTCTGGCAGAAGAGAGCGATACGTGTTGTTTGGAGCGGACGAGGTAGCAAGTAGGGAGAGGGGGGGCGTACGGAGTGGAACGAGGTGTATGCGTGAGACCCCTAGAGAAGGATTGTTGTTGTTTGGTGATTTCGAGTGTGTTGCCCGATTGTTGGCCTTTTGGGGACCAGATTTTCCGGTCAGAAAAGAGGCTCTCGATCAAGCAGGGTAGGACCTGCGAGAATTTGTCGTTGGCGTGCAGTGAAGTGAACAAAGGTGGCGTGGCGCGTCCTCGCTAGGCAAGCCCTCTCGGCGGCTGGCTGGCTGCAGATACGTACCACGATAGGCTCAACAAGCCTGTGCGGTGGTGTGGCGCTCCCCCGACTTGAACTTGACAGACTGCCTGGTTGTGCCAATCTACTTTCGTCGTTGGTGAGAAGCACTGTCGGCCATTGAGGTCGCGGGGTTTCTCTGAGGGTCGCTTGGGGGGGCGGGGCGGAAGGGGTGGCGCCTGGGACCCTCCCTGCGG